TATTTCTTTCTATGAAATGCAGGTTCCATTTGTAGATCACACTACATATGAAATACATTGAGATCTGTTCTTTAACAGGAACTGTTTCAACAGGTTTTTTAACCGTGTTACTAGAGGCGTGCGTGAAGAGTCACTGCTGAAATGTGAACATTAAATCTGCACTGACTTTTCTTCATGACCGTAACATGGAGCATCATTACATTAAATATAATTATCATTTGCAGTTATCATCCAGATAGTGAAGTATAAATAAATGAATTGATAGGAAATATATAGGGCTTGCATGCCTTAATCAAATTATGAGTAGAATGTTCGTTTGTCAATGTTGTTCTTAATAAAAGTATACCATGGGCTATGCAAAAGTATATGGTGACACCTTGTCGTTCAAGAGCTTCAAGAATGTTTTAGCAGAGGGCGTACATATATACAGAGAGAGAGAGAGAGAGAGAGAGAGAGAGAGAGAGAGAGAGAGAGAGAGAGAGAGAGAGAGAGAGAGAGAATAAGTCTGTGTTTTGAATTAAGTAATTTATGATTAGGAGCAGATACGATGTAAGTCAGCGAATCCTTATTTAAATGTCAGAGGTGAGATGAATATCAAATATAAGGATCCACAGCGCAGCAACAACGACCCATCCCAAACCGATGCCTAGAAATGGGGAAAGTTATAAGCTTTTAGGAAAGCCATGTATATTATACATACACATGTCGAAAAAGAATGGTGGTAAAATGGATCGAAGCACCATGTTCGGAAGGTAACCTGCTCTCCATGTATGTTTGGGAAGACTTTCCTTTAAGAGATATTACTTTATAGAGTAACCATCTAGGAGGTGAAATGAATTACACACTGTCTTTTATTATTACAATTATAACAATACCCGTTACTGGGTCATTGTGATAGAATTGTTTTTTTTCACAGAGCACATAGGAAAAGACTGGCTATGCTCATCTGTATCGGTATTTATACACGAATCTACGCATATCGACGCAATTTCATCACGGGTCATTTGTCAGTGATGTAATTACTTCCCTAATCATTCGCCCGCACCTACACACATACATTGCATTGGACATAGTCCCTGGGGGCATAGGGAAACGGAATTCTGTTAGCAATGATTCTTAAAAGGTGTTGCAAATTGGTGCTGAATTAGATAATATACTTGTAATTAGTCAGTTCCGGGTGTGGACCGAATACAGGTGTATATAAGCGTCTTGTTTTCAAGCACTAGCTATCACTGCTGTCGCCTCTCTTCACGTTTAGATCCAGTCTAATCAACACACTCTGTGAGTATCAGTTGTTTTGTGTTTTACGGGGTATTCAGCCTGTCCCTGTTAACGCTGTATTTTACGTTGCCGTTTTATGAGTGTTAGTCAGTAGTTGTTGCTGTAATGCTATTTCAAACTTTTACTGATTACTATTTGTAATATTGATTGAATCCTCCAAATGTGTTTTTAGTTTTCAAATCAGATAAAGTTCTACTTAAAGCAACAAAATAAAAAAGTGTAGAATAGCGACCACAAGTTGGTACAGAAACGGATTTTCTTACAGACTTGAATAATGAATGAAAAACTCCTTTTCAGCCTTCCAAAATGATGAAAGTTATCGCCCTTGTTGCCTGTCTGGCTGTCGCTGCCTTTGCTGAGCCTGTGAGCTATGGTCTGCACGGAGGCTTCGGAAAGGGTGGTCTGTACGGAGGCTACGGAATGGGTGGTCTGTACGGAGGCTTCGGAATGGGAGGTCTGTACGGAGGTTACGGTTTGGGAGGACTGTACGGAGGCTACGGAATGGGTGGTCTATACGGAGGCTACGGAATGGGTGGTCTATACGGAGGCCACGGACTAGGAGGACTGTACGGAGGAATCGGAGGTTTCGGAAAAGGTAAATGCAAATACAATCATGCCGAGAATATTATTGACCCTCACATATACCTAATACTTTGACAGATTATAAGTAAGCTAATTACACCAAACTTATTTTCCACCTTCATTGGACACATGCAGCATAACTAACCTATCGATATATTGAATATAGAAATTATTACGAGACGTAGAAATGACTTTGTACGGAAAATATTCTTAAACAAAAACCTCTTCTTTTTGTTGCAGGTATTGGATATGGCTACTACTAAGGTTGTCGCTCCAGTGTCACAATTCATCTGCATCATCAATATGTACATTATTTATTGTATCCGGTTTGAAATATGTCACATAAAACACAATCATTGAAACAATGTCTTACGTTTTTTATTCATAGTAGTGTTGGGGCTAGGTTACAAAAGGAAAAAAATGTTATTAAGAGAGTTGTATCGGAACAGTGAGATATAAATCATCAAAATGAAAGAGAAACGCGTATACTAGTTTACTGGCATGAGCGAATGAGTGGGTGAATGAGAGAGTGTTGTTTAACGCTACAGTCAGCCTTTGTCAAATTACACCATGGCAGAGGCACAAAACCATGCGGCACGGTGACGCACAATCAGTCAGGTCACACACAATAAACATCTGGTCGCCTTCATAAGTCAGCTCTTACGACAAGCATGTGGCACCGAGCACCTGTTATTGACAGAAATAGCGTAGGATTCTAAAAAAGTGTCATTCATTCGCACGTGAAAGTTGTTTGTATGCAATATGGAGGTTCAGATATGTATATTCCTCAATGACATTGATCAACTTTACAGTGTTGACTTTCGTCCCTGCAGCCCGGATCCGTGAGCATCCGGTTTAGAATATAGGTCTTCAGCAACCCATGCTTGCTGTAAGAGGCGACTAACGGGATCGGGTGGTCAGGCTTGCTGACTTGGTTGATGCATGTTATTGTATCCCGATTGCATAGATCGATGCTCATAGTGTCAACCACTGGATTGTCTGGTCCAGACTAGAATATTTACAGACCGCCGTAATTTAGCTGAAATATTGTCGAGTGCGGCGTTAAACAAACAAACAAACAAACAAACAAACAAAGCGACAAGCACGTAGTCTGGAAAACAACAACACAGAAGTTGGCAATTAATGTTCCATAACAAGGTCACATATTCATATATAATAGCCACCTGATCGTGTGCCTTCGGTAACACACAAACAAATGTTTACCATTAGTCTTCTGTAGTATCCAACACTCTCTGTCCATGATGAAATTTACAAAAATGCAAATGTCGGCATTCTTTATACGTGAGAAGCACCTAAACCTATATGCCATCTGTAAAAGTAAGGATTATTATTAAGCTTTCTTGGGAAAGTAGTAAACGACTCGACAGGTTTTTGGTAATGGCAAGAATGGACAGTCACAAGGTTTGAAATGTGCCCCCATACAGTCGTACCATTCCGTGGCTGCATAGTCAAGCCATTCCGCAGCTTTAGTTACCATCCTACATTTATCCCTTTGCCGTATGCTCTTTACATACAACTGGACCGCCTCCGTGGTCTAATGGTAGAGCGTCCGCCCGGAGAGCGGAAGGTCCGGGGTTCGATCCCCAGCCGCGTCATACCAAAAGACGTTAAAAGATGATACTTGTTGTTACCCTGTCTGGCGCTCGGCATTAAGGGGCTAAAACAAGGACTGGTCGGCTCGGAGTCAATATACTCTGTCTGAGTGGGGTATTCATGTTAAACTGCGGCATGGTATCTCAGTGGGCTAGCACTATAAATCGGCATCAGTCCGGACTAGTACAAGCAGCCACACACACACATACACGTGCATGCACGTCGCTATATAAGTGCAATAATCTTGGACGCGACGTTAAACCCCATATCACCTCACCTCACCTTACATACAACTCCTTGATTAGCCATACTCCCCACTGCACATTCCTCTTTTTCAGTATTAATGATATAGGAAGACCCTTTCAGAGCTCCGATGTTGTTACATTGTAATCAATGATATATTTCTTTCTATGAAATGCAGGTTCCATTTGTAGATCACACTACATATGAAATACATTGAGATCTGTTCTTTAACAGGAACTGTTTCAACAGGTTTTTTAACCGTGTTACTAGAGGCGTGCGTGAAGAGTCACTGCTGAAATGTGAACATTAAATCTGCACTGACTTTTCTTCATGACCGTAACATGGAGCATCATTACATTAAATATAATTATCATTTGCAGTTATCATCCAGATAGTGAAGTATAAATAAATGAATTGATAGGAAATATATAGGGCTTGCATGCCTTAATCAAATTATGAGTAGAATGTTCGTTTGTCAATGTTGTTCTTAATAAAAGTATACAATGGGCTATGCAAAAGTATATGGTGACACCTTGTCGTTCAAGAGTTTCAAGAATGTTTTAGCAGAGGGCGTACATATATACAGAGAGAGAGAGAGAGAGAGAGAGAGAGAGAGAGAGAAAGTGAGAGAGAGAGAGAGAGAGAGAGAGAGAGAGAGAGAGAGAGAGAGAGAGAGAGAGAGAATAAGTCTGTGTTTTGAATTAAGTAATTTATAATTAGGAGCAGATACGATGTAAGTCAGCGAATCCTTATTTAAATGTCAGAGGTGAGATGAATATCAAATATAAGGATCCACAGCGCAGCAACAACGACCCATCCCAAACCGATGCCTAGAAATGGGGAAAGTTATAAGCTTTTAGGAAAGCCATGTATATTATACATACACATGTCGAAAAAGAATGGTGGTAAAATGGATCGAAGCACCATGTTCGGAAGGTAACCTGCTCTCCATGTATGTTTGGGAAGACTTTCCTTTAAGAGATATTACTTTATAGAGTAACCATCTAGGAGGTGAAATGAATTACACACTGTCTTTTATTATTACAATTATAACAATACCCGTTACTGGGTCATTGTGATAGAATTGTTTTTTTTCACAGAGCACATAGGAAAAGACTGGCTATGCTCATCTGTATCGGTATTTATACACGAATCTACGCATATCGACGCAATTTCATCACGGGTCATTTGTCAGTGATGTAATTACTTCCCTAATCATTCGCCCGCACCTACACACATACATTGCATTGGACATAGTCCCTGGGGGCATAGGGAAACGGAATTCTGTTAGCAATGATTCTTAAAAGGTGTTGCAAATTGGTGCTGAATTAGATAATATACTTGTAATTAGTCAGTTCCGGGTGTGGACCGAATACAGGTGTATATAAGCGTCTTGTTTTCAAGCACTAGCTATCACTGCTGTCGCCTCTCTTCACGTTTAGATCCAGTCTAATCAACACACTCTGTGAGTATCAGTTGTTTTGTGTTTTACGGGGTATTCAGCCTGTCCCTGTTAACGCTGTATTTTACGTTGCCGTTTTATGAGTGTTAGTCAGTAGTTGTTGCTGTAATGCTATTTCAAACTTTTACTGATTACTATTTGTAATATTGATTGAATCCTCCAAATGTGTTTTTAGTTTTCAAATCAGATAAAGTTCTACTTAAAGCAACAAAATAAAAAAGTGTAGAATAGCGACCACAAGTTGGTACAGAAACGGATTTTCTTACAGACTTGAATAATGAATGAAAAACTCCTTTTCAGCCTTCCAAAATGATGAAAGTTATCGCCCTTGTTGCCTGTCTGGCTGTCGTTGCCTTTGCTGAGCCTGTGAGCTATGGTCTGCACGGAGGCTTCGGAAAGGGTGGTCTGTACGGAGGCTACGGAATGGGTGGTCTGTACGGAGGCTTCGGAATGGGAGGTCTGTACGGAGGTTACGGTTTGGGAGGACTGTACGGAGGCTACGGAATGGGTGGTCTATACGGAGGCTACGGAATGGGTGGTCTATACGGAGGCCACGGATTAGGAGGACTGTACGGAGGAATCGGAGGTTTCGGAAAAGGTAAATGCAAATACAATCATGCCGAGAATATTATTGACCCTCACATATACCTAATACTTTGACAGATTATAAGTAAGCTAATTACACCAAACTTATTTTCCACCTTCATTGGACACATGCAGCATAACTAACCTATCGATATATTGAATATAGAAATTATTACGAGACGTAGAAATGACTTTGTACGGAAAATATTCTTAAACAAAAACCTCTTCTTTTTGTTGCAGGTATTGGATATGGCTTCTACTAAGGTTGTCGCTCCAGTGTCACAATTCATCTGCATCATCAATATGTACATTATTTATTGTATCCGGTTTGAAATATGTCACATAAAACACAATCATTGAAACAATGTCTTACGTTTTTTATTCATAGTAGTGTTGGGGCTATGTTACAAAAGGAAAAAAATGTTATTAAGAGAGTTGTATCGGAACAGTGAGATATAAATCATCAAAATGAAAGAGAAACGCGTATACTAGTTTACTGGCATGAGCGAATGAGTGGGTGAATGAGAGAGTGTTGTTTAACGCTACAGTCAGCCTTTGTCAAATTACACCATGGCAGAGGCACAAAACCATGCGGCACGGTGACGCACAATCAGTCAGGTCACACACAATAAACATCTGGTCGCCTTCATAAGTCAGCTCTTACGACAAGCATGTGGCACCGAGTACCTGTTATTGACAGAAATAGCGTAGGATTCTAAAAAAGTGTCATTCATTCGCACGTGAAAGTTGTTTGTATTCAATATGGAGGTTCAGATATGTATATTCCTCAATGACATTGATCAACTTTACAGTGTTGACTCTCGTCCCTGCAGCCCGGATCCGTGAGCATCCGGTTTAGAATATAGGTCTTCAGCAACCCATGCTTGCTGTAAGAGGCAACTAACGGGATCGGGTGGTCAGGCTTGCTGACTTGGTTGATGCATGTTATTGTATCCCGATTGCATAGATCGATGCTCATAGTGTCAATCACTGGATTGTCTGGTCCAGACTGGAATATTTACAGACTGCCGTAATTTAGCTGAAATATTGTCGAGTGCGGCGTTAAACAAACAAACAAAGAAACAAACAAACAAAGCGACAAGCACGTAGTCTGGAAAACAACAAGAACAGAAGTTGGCAATTAATGTTCCATAACAAGGTCACATATTCATATATAATAGCCACCTGATCGTGTGCCTTCGGTAACACACAAACAAATGTTTACCATTAGTCTTCTGTAGTATCCAACACTCTCTGTCCATGATGAAATTTACAAAAATGCAAATGTCGGCATTCTTTATACGTGAGAAGCACCTAAACCTATATGCCATCTGTAAAAGTAAGGATTATTATTAAGCTTTCTTGGGAAAGTAGTAAACGACTCGACAGGTTTTTGGTAATGGCAAGAATGGACAGTCACAAGGTTTGAAATGTGCCCCCATACAGTCGTACCATTCCGTGGCTGCATAGTCAAGCCATTCCGCAGCTTTAGTTACCATCCTACATTTATCCCTTTGCCGTATGCTCTTTACATACAACTAGACCGCCTCCGTGGTCTAATGGTAGAGCGTCCGCCCGGAGAGCGGATGGTCCGGGGTTCGATCCCCAGCCGCGTCATACCAAAAGACGTTAAAAGATGATACTTGTTGTTACCCTGTCTGGCGCTCGGCATTAAGGGGCTAAAACAAGGACTGGTCGGCTCGGAGTCAATATACTCTGTCTGAGTGGGGTATTCATGTTAAACTGCGGCATGGTATCTCAGTGGGCTAGCACTATAAATCGGCATCAGTCCGGACTAGTACAAGCAGCCAAACACACACATACACGTGCATGCACGTCGCTATATAAGTGCAATAATCTTGGACGCGACGTTAAACCCCATATCACCTCACCTCACCTTACATACAACTCCTTGATTAGCCATACTCCCCACTGCACATTCCTCTTTTTCAGTATTAATGATATAGGAAGACCCTTTCAGAGCTCCGATGTTGTTACATTGTAATCAATGATATATTTCTTTCTATGAAATGCAGGTTCCATTTGTAGATCACACTACATATGAAATACATTGAGATCTGTTCTTTAACAGGAACTGTTTCAACAGGTTTTTTAACCGTGTTACTAGAGGCGTGCGTGAAGAGTCACTGCTGAAATGTGAACATTAAATCTGCACTGACTTTTCTTCATGACCGTAACATGGAGCATCATTACATTAAATATAATTATCATTTGCAGTTATCATCCAGATAGTGAAGTATAAATAAATGAATTGATAGGAAATATATAGGGCTTGCATGCCTTAATCAAATTATGAGTAGAATGTTCGTTTGTCAATGTTGTTCTTAATAAAAGTATACCATGGGCTATGCAAAAGTATATGGTGACACCTTGTCGTTCAAGAGTTTCAAGAATGTTTTAGCAGAGGGCGTACATATATACAGAGAGAGAGAGAGAGAGAGAGAGAGAGAGAGAGAGAGAGAGAGAGAGAGAGAGAGAGAGAGAGAGAATAAGTCTGTGTTTTGAATTAAGTAATTTATGATTAGGAGCAGATACGATGTAAGTCAGCGAATCATTATTTAAATGTCAGAGGTGAGATGAATATCAAATATAAGGATCCACAGCGCAGCAACAACGACCCATCCCAAACCGATGCCTAGAAATGGGGAAAGTTATGAGCTTTTAGGAAAGCCATGTATATTATACATACACATGTCGAAAAAGAATGGTGGTAAAATGGATCGAAGCAACCATGTTCGGAAGGTAACCTGCTCTCCATGTATGTTTGGGAAGACTTTCCTTTAAGAGATATTACTTTATAGAGTAACCATCTAGGAGGTGAAATGAATTACACACTGTCTTTTATTATTACAATTATAACAATACCCGTTACTGGGTCATTGTGATAGAATTGTTTTTTCACAGACCACATAGGAAAAGACTGGCTATGCTCATCTGTATCGGTATTTATACACGAATCTACGCATATCGACGCAATTTCATCACGGGTCATTTGTCAGTGATGTAATTACTTCCCTAATCATTCGCCCGCACCTACACACATACATTGCATTGGACATAGTCCCTGGGGGCATAGGGAAACGGAATTCTGTTAGCAATGATTCTTAAAAGGTGTTGCAAATTGGTGCTGAATTAGATAATATACTTGTAATTAGTCAGTTCCGGGTGTGGACCGAATACAGGTGTATATAAGCGTCTTGTTTTCAAGCACTAGCTATCATTGCTGTCGCCTCTCTTCACGTTTAGATCCAGTCTAATCAACACACTCTGTGAGTATCAGTTGTTTTGTGTTTTACGGGGTATTCAGCCTGTCCCTGTTAACGCTGTATTTTACGTTGCCGTTTTATGAGTGTTAGTCAGTAGTTATTGCTGTAATGCCATTTCAAACTTTTACTGATTACTATTTGTAATATTGATTGAATCCTCCAAATGTGTTTGTAGTTTTCAAATCAGATAAAGTTCTACTTAAAGCAACAAAATAAAAAAGTGTAGAATAGCGACCACAAGTTGGTACAGAAACGGATTTTCTTACAGACTTGAATAATGAATGAAAAACTCCTTTTCAGCCTTCCAAAATGATGAAAGTTATCGCCCTTGTTGCCTGTCTGGCTGTCGCTGCCTTTGCTGAGCCTGTGAGCTATGGTCTGCACGGAGGCTTCGGAAAGGGTGGTGTGTACGGAGGCTACGGAATGGGTGGTCTGTACGGAGGCTTCGGAATGGGAGGTCTGTACGGAGGTTACGGTTTGGGAGGACTGTACGGAGGCTACGGAATGGGTGGTCTATACGGAGGCTACGGAATGGGTGGTCTATACGGAGGCCACGGATTAGGAGGACTGTACGGAGGAATCGGAGGTTTCGGAAAAGGTAAATGCAAATACAATCATGCCGAGAATATTATTGACCCTCACATATACCTAATACTTTGACAGATTATAAGTAAGCTAATTACACCAAACTTATTTTCCACCTTCATTGGACACATGCAGCATAACTAACCTATCGATATATTGGATATAGAAATTATTACAAGACGTAGAAATGACTTTGTACGGAAAATATTCTTAAACAAAAACCTCTTCTTTTTGTTGCAGGTATTGGATATGGCTACTACTAAGGTTGTCGCTCCAGTGTCACTATTCATCTGCATCATCAATATGTACATTATTTATTGTATCCGGTTTGAAATATGTCACATAAAACACAATCATTGAAACAATGTCTTCCGTTTTTTATTCATAGTAGTATTGGGGTTATGTTACAAAAGGAAAATAAATGCTATTAAGAGAGTTGTATCGGAACAGTGAGATAAAATTGATCAACATGAAAGAGAAACACTTATACTAGTTTACTGGCATGAGCGAATGAGTGGGTGAATGAGAGAGTATTGTTTAACGCTACAGTCAGCCTTTGTCAAATTACACCACGGCAGAGGCACAAAACCATGCGGGACGGTGACGCACAATCAGTCAGGTCACACACAATAAAGATCTGGTCGCCTTCATAAGTTGGCTCTTACGACAAGCATGTGGCACCGAGGACCTGATTTTGACAGAAATAGCGTAGGAATCTGAAAAAGTGTCATTCATTTGCATGTGAAAGTTGTTTGTATGCAATATGGAGGTTCAGATATGTATATTCCTCAATGACATTGATCAACTTTATAGTGTTGACTATACTTTATAGTTTCGTCCCTTCCGCCCGGATGTTGTGCATTAGGTAACCCACAAAGAAATGTTTACCATTAGTCCTCTGTAGTATCCAACACTGTCTGTCTATGATGAAATCCACAAAAATGCAAATATCGGCATTCTTTATACGTGAGAAGCACCTAAACCTTTATGCCATCTGTAAAAGTAAGGATTATTATTAAGCGGCCTGTCATCGGAGAGAGAATCTTGGGAAAGTAGTTAATAATATACCTGCACTGTCAAGACGAAACCGCTGGATAAGTTCCGTGTCTGAATACACACTGAAAATGTTTTTCCTTGGCCTGAAAGTTCTCAGCTGATGAGGCTGCGGTGCCCCAGCTGCCGCCATATTGGATACTGAGGAAATTCTTAGATAACTAAAAGTCCTCTTGGGTACTCTTAACTTTGGGAGTACTCTTAGTGCTAAAAGTATTTATGAATATGACTTAGGACAATTATTCGATGTAAGAGTAACTTTTGGTATTTCTAAGAATTTTCTCAGACTTAAGACCTCTTTTGCACTTTGAGAATGTTTATGAATACCGCCCCTTTGCTTGAACAGGGACAATTTCCACAGGTTATTTCACCGTGTTGTTTGAGGTGTGCGTGAAAAGTCACAGCTGACACGTCAACATCAAATGTGCACACATTCT